TTTGTTGCTGATAGAGGTCGAGGTTCAGTCCCAAAGATCGAGCACGTATGATCGAGAACAGAATGAACATCTGATGATGGCAGCGCTCGACACAATCGAAGAGCTTCTAGAGAAGGAAACAATTAGAGTCGAGGCGTACAAACAAAGGATGCGAACAGCGCATGATAGAAAAGTGAAAACACGAAGATTCCAGGTGGGCGACTTGGTATAGAAAAGAGTCGATGTGTTGAAGCATGTCGGTAAATTAGAGCCGAACTGGGAAGGACCATACTTGGTCGAAAAAGTCCATGCTGGAGGGGCATACTCTTTAAAGGATGCAGAAGGAAGATCTCTAGCCAGGTCATGGAATGTAGCTAACTTGAAGAAGTATTATGCTTAAAATTTTTCTTTTCATTCATAGAGCAACTCGTTAGCATCAATGTAATGAGTTTCTTTGCCTGATAATCAATGAAATGACGTATTGGAGTTTTTACAATTTACTGTTTATTGAATTATCTCTATATCGATAGGATCCTAGGATTAACCTTGATGACAGGTTAAGGCCATGAGGCTGGATGGTCGCATGTAACGACCACCCCTTTAAGGGTGGGCATGTGTTCAAAAAGAAAAAAAATCCATCATGACTAAGGCCATGAGGCTGGATGGTCGCATGTAACGACCACCCCTTTGAGGGTGGGCATGTGTTCAAAAAGAAAAAATCCATCATGACTAAGGCCATGAGGCTGGATGGTCGCATGTAACGACCACCCCTTTGAGGATGGGCATGTGTTCAAAAAGAATAAAATCCATCATGAATAAGGCCATGAGGCTGGATGGTCGCATGTAGCGACCGCCCCTTTGAGGGTGGGCATGTGTTCAAAAAGAAAAAATCCATCATAACTAAGGCCATGAGGCTGGATGGTCGCATGTAACGACCACCCCTTTAAGGGTGGGCATGTGTTCAAAAAGAAAAAAATCCATCATGACTAAGGCCATGAGGCTGGATGGTCGCATGTAACGACCACCTCTTTGAGGGTGGGCATGTGCTCAAAGTGCGTGATTACACGGAAAAATATAAGTTCAAAGAGGGAAGATACGTTAACGACATACAAGCTCACTCAAGCTACCTTGCTAAGAAATCACACAAGCGTACCAAAGCTGGTCATCTCAAGCATCGACAAAGATAGAAATAAACCAACCAAAACATTTTCATTTTAAGAAGATCGTGAGATCGTGAGAAGTACACACATTATAGGAATTCAATTAAATACGAATGGAAACTGGAAAATACAATACTACACTACGGCGGAGGAGGGGCGACAGTTGAGTCGGCGTTGCTCGAGCTGGCATTTGGGTCGAGCTGAGGACCAGTACCAGAGGTCGAATCGCAGGCCTCATTAAGAGGGCGTCGTCGAATAGATTCAGCCATTGCGACCAACA